TTTGGGGGAGAAACGGTGATTTTGGGGCCGTGCCCCTGCAGGAGCTCCAAATGAGGCCGCCTTGCTTTTGGGGGAGAAACGGTGATTTTGGGGCCTGTGCCCCTCTGGGAGCTCCAGCTGAGGCCACCTTGCTTTTGGAGCAGAAACGGTCATTTTTAGGGGCTATGCCCCTCCTGCAGCTCCAGCTGAGGCTGTCTTGCTTTTGGGGGAGAAACGGTCATTTTTAGGGGCCATGCCCTCCAGCAGCTCCAGCTGAAACCACCTTGTTTTTTGGGGCAGAAACGGTGAATTTTGGGGCCGTGGTGTTTTGCATCCAGGCTGTGCTGCTCGGATGGGCCCCTGGGACACGATTCCCGTGCCAGCGGCTCCGAGGCCGCGCGGCCCCGGCTGCAGCGGGACCCGGACGTCTCCTCCCGCCCGCGGGGGCTTCCTGGCCTTTGTTTGCAGCGCGGCCTCCCGAATAACAGCAGGATCCGGACATCCCGGAGCTCCGAGCGGGCGCTTCCTTGCCAAGGAGTCCCCAGGCCGGCGAGTCCGGCGTGCGGGAGGAGGCGCGGGGTCCTTATCCCGCAAATGAGGCCCCTGCGGAGAGCGGATGGAGCCGGGGATTGGGTTGGGGACAGGGATTGGGATGGAGAGAGCGGGAGGTGGAAGCAGAGGGAATTGGGATGAAGAGAGAGGGATTGGGATGGAGAGAGTGGGATTGGGATGGAGAGAGAGGGATTGGAATGGAGAGAGCAGGAGGGAGAGAATTGGGATGGAAAAGGGACTGGGATGGGGAGAGAGGGAATAGGAATGGAGAAGAGGGAATTGGGATTGAGTGAGAAGGAGTAGGGATGGAGAAGTGGAAATGGGGTGGAGAATGGAATTTGAAGGGGGAAGCGGGAATAGAGATGGACTGGGGAGTTATAGGGATGGAGAGGAGAGCAGTAAGGATGGGGAAAGGGGGAACAGGGATGGAGACAGGAGATTAGGGATGGAGAGGAGAGAATTTGGAAGGGAGTTTGGAAGGAATGGGGATGGAGAAGAGGAAATTGGGGTGGAGAATGGAATTTGGAGAGAGAAGGGGGAATAAGGATGGACTAATAATAGGGATGGGGAGTAATAGGGATGCATAGGAGAGCAATAAGGATAGAGAAGGGAGGAATTGGGCTGGAGAGGGAGAGAATTGGGTTGGAGAAGGGGGAATAGGGCTGGGGAAAGAAGTGCATGGAGAAGGGGCTGGCAGCTCTCAGGGCCTTTTCCAGGAGCCCACGGAGGAGTCTGGGCCGGAGCTGACTCCTGCTGGCTCCATGGCTAAGGCCAGAGCTGCCTCCAGGATGTTCCAAGGGGATTGTCCCAATTTCAACCCATCTTATCCCATTCTAAACTCCAAGRGGATAACCCTTTGCCAGACACTAGTTGTGTTGCCCGCCCAGCACGCGCTGGGGTCTGCACCGTTCCCGTATTCSCAGCCATCATTCCCGTGCGGCGTTTTCCAGCAGCAGAGCCTGGGAAGGGCAGGGAAGGCTCAGGATCCGTTCGGCCCCGCTCCCGTCGCCAGGGTCGTGTTCCTCGTGCGGCCTGACCTGCTCTGCGGCTTGTACCCGCTGCGGCTTAGCGGGAATAGCAGCGCTTTGTTTTCCCRGCAGAGCGGGAAAGGAGGTCGCTGCGGCCTCCCTGCGCCTCCRGCTGCTCCGTGGGGATGCGGGACTGGGCTCCGACGGGCTCTGTGCATTGCCCTGCATTGCTCTGGTGCTGTCCCGGGCTGCTCTGGGGCTTGGGAAGGCTCCGGTCAACCTTGCACGTACTGCAGGGTGGAAATCTCCCCTTTCTGGGTCTTTGGGCAGCGTCTTTCATGGCATCGTGTGCAGCACCTTGCACAGCTGGGCCTTTGTACAGTGTCTTGCAGAGCTGGGCCTGTGCACGGCACCCTGCACAACTGGGCCTTTGCATGGGCTCTTACCTTGCACAACTGGGGCTTTGCATGAGATCTTGCAYRGCACCTTGCACAGCTGGGCCTTTGCACAGCACATTGCACAGCTGGGCCTTTGCAGGGAACCTTGCACAGCTGGGGCTTTGCATGGGTTCTTACATGCCACCTTGCACAGCTGGGCCTTTGCATTGGGACTTACATGGCACATTGCACAGCTGGGCCTTTGTACAACACATTGCCAGCTAGGCCTTTGCACAGCTGGGGCTTTGCTTGGCAGCTTGCACGGTTGGGSCTTTGCACAGCACCTTACAYGGCACCTTGCACAGCTGGGCCTTTGCACGGCATCTTGCACAGCTAGGCCTTTGCACAGCACCTTGCATGGCACCTTGCTCGGCTGGGCCTTTGCACAGCACCTTACTGGGCACCTTGCACAGCTGGGCCTTTGCACGGCACCTTGCATGGCACTTTGCACAGCTGGGCCTTTGCGTGGCACTTTGCACAGCTGGACTTTTGCATGGCACCTTACACGGCACCTTGCACAGCCGGGCCTTTGCATGGCATCCTGCACAGCTGGGGCCTTTGCATGCACCTTGCACGTCACCTTGCACGGCTGGGCCTTTGCACATCGCCTTGCACGGCTGGGGCTTTGCACAGCACCTTACACGGCACCTTGCACAGCTGGGCCTTTGCATGCAGGTTGCATGGCACGTTGCATGTCATCTTGCACAGCTGGGCCTTTGCACGGCACCTTGCACAGCTGGACCTTTGCATGCAGGTTGCATGGCACGTTGCATGTCATCTTGCACAGCTGGGCCTTTGCACGGCACCTTGCACGGCTGGCCCTTTGCACGCCGTTTTGCACAGTGCCTTGCCCTGCCAGCCCTTTGCCCTGCGCCTCACGTGTCACCATCCACAGCCCGGCCTTTGCCCAGCACCCTGCCCGGCAGGGCATTGACCGGCACCTTGCGCAGCACCGAGGGCAGCAGCAAGGCTGTTGGTGGCACCGCGCCGAGCGCCACAGTGGTGCCAGCAACCCCCTGGGCACCGTCCGCGCTCCCGAGGGGCACAAACATCCATGCAAGGTCCCACATCCATCCCCACGGGTGTCCCCATGTCCCTGCCACCCTGCTGCAGCCGCCTGAGCCCCGGGGCTGCACGGGGAGGTTTTGGGGTGCCCGGGGGTGCCGTCAATGCACCGTGAGCGGAGGGCAGCGCCGTGAGGGCCACGCGGGGCCATCAGCCTAATGCAATTGCCGTGCTGTAAAGTGACACCGATCGCTGCCGAGATTGATAGGAAAAGYGTTCCGGCGGCGGCGGCTACGTGGGAAAAGGCGCCCGGTGCCGGCGGGAGCCGCTCAGCCGCCTCTCCCTCTGCTCTCTCGTAGGGTGTTTAAGAAAGCGAGTCCCAACGGGAAGGTGAGCGGGGCCGTTTCCAACGGAGCGCGGCGCTCGTCCGTCCTGGAGCTGCTGGGGCTGGATGCCTCGTGCGGAGCCTAGGAAGGAGGGAGGGAAAGAAGGATGGAAGGAGAAGGGAAAGGAGAAGGGGGAAGCGATGGGAAGAGGAAGAGCGCAAGGGGAGGAAGCAGGGAAGGGAGGGAGGAAGGGAAGGGAGGAAGGGAGATGGAGCCTGGGAAGGAGGGAGGGAAAGAAGGATGGAAGGAGAAGGGAAAGGAGAAGGGGGAAGCGATGGGAAGAGGAAGAGTGGAAGGGGAGGAAGCAGGGAAAGGAGGGAGGAAGGGAAAGGAGGGAGATGGGAAGCAGGGAGGCAAGGAAGGGGAGGGGAGAGGAAAGAGGGAGGGATAAGGGAAGGGAAGAGGAAGGCAGGAGGAAGCAGAGGAGGGAGGAAGAGGAAGCAGCAGCGAGGGCAGGAGGAAGGCAGCGGCCCAATATTCTGCGGGCTGCAGAGGAGGAAGAGGAGGGAGCGGAGGAAGGCGGGACGCAGCGACTCTTCTCTGGGCACCGAGGGGGATTAGAGGGGATGAGGCCGAGGGCCGGGGCTCTTCCCGGTGGGATGCAGGGAGGAGGCACCGGCGCCMCCGGACTGTTCCCCTCTCGCCGCAGCTCACGGTCTACCTGGGCAAGCGGGACTTCGTGGATCACATCGACGTGGTGGATCCCGTGGGTAAGTGCTTGCCGAGCGGGATACGGGATGCAGGGTACCCAGTGGCACATTCGCCTTTAAATATATATGTATATATGCGTTTAATGACTGGTTTGTGCATGTGCATCAGAGACCCAAACCCACATGTTTTGGAGTGTAACTGTGGGAGGAGGCGGGTGGGGAGGCGATGGACCGGGGTTTGCTTCGGCCTCAGCCCCTCATCGTTTTCTTGCAGACGGCGTCGTGCTGGTGGACCCCGAGTACCTGAAGGAAAGGAAAGGTAACGGGCGTCGTGCGGAGAGGGTGGCTGTGCCCTACGTTGCTCCTTTGCTGYGCCCTGCATTGCACCCCGTGATGCAGCCTGTGTTGCAATCCATGCTGCACCCCGTGTTGTGTTCCACACTGTRTCCTACTTTGCAGCCTGTGTTGCATCCTATATTGCACCCAACATTGCATCCCCTGCACTCCACATAACACCCCGTGTGGCACCCCACCTTGCACCCTGTATTGCACTGTGGTGCACCCTGCATTGCACTCCCTGCATCCATGTTGTACCTCATCTTATGCCTTATATTGCAGCCCACATTGCACCCTGCATTGCACCCCCTGCACCTCATTGCACCCTGTGCTCCATCCTGCATAGCAGCACACATTGCATCCTGTGTTGCACCCTGCATTGCACACCCCTGCAGCCCACGTTGCACTCTGCTATACCCCAGGTTGCACCCTGTGTTGCACTCCACATCACACCCCACATTTCACCCCTGTGCACCCTGTGCTGCATGCCCCATTGCACCGTATATCGCACCCTGCATATCACCATGTTGCACCCTTGTTGCAC